TGGATGCATTGACTACCTCAATCAGGTCTCGCATTGGCAGCATTATATGAGCTTACTAACACTATCATAGAAACCCTCTTAGTGGGTTATCCACCGGAAATAACTTTCTACTATATCCTTATTTACATCTACCTTGGCTGTGTTCATTGGACATTTGGTTGTGACTGCACAGTTTGACGAACGCAACGAATCAACCCACTCTTTTAACTGTAACACATTGAGTCGTAAATTTACGTGAGGGAAAAAACCTGTGATTCAGTGATTTTTAAGTAGGTGCAAGGTGAGGTTCTTGGAAGGATGTGTGAGGCATGAAGTATATTATTAGAGTAGTGCGGCTTTAACACGTAAGCGTTAGTGTATAAACCGAACGAATAACTACGAAACAAAATAGACTTATATAGGGAAAATCACAGTAGGTGCAAAATTTAGTCAAATGAAAATGATGGCAAATTGAGTGCTGGGGGTGAGTCAGTCGTTCAGGTGATACAATGAGCATGAATAGTGATGGTCCGATGAAATGATGACACCGCGGTAGGCGTTAGAATGCTCGACAAGTGTGTTGCCACAACTGTCGCCGAGGTTGCTGCTGTTGTTGCCTTCGAAGTTAATCGTACATACCGACGCTGCGATCGTACAATCGTCTTCGACGACTATTCTCTTCGATAGGAATCCGAGTCGACCGACTGGAACTTAGGCGTTCCACTTCGACGCCTGGAGCTGGTGCCTCCACTGTCAGTATTCCGTTCTAAACGTAATTTGGCATAGCTTGAGTAAATAAGGAGCATGCGCAAGCTCTAAACAAACGTTTCTTAGCTAATACCGTCTCCTTTTTTTCATACCTAGAAAGGTGAGCAAATGGAGTTGCATTTGCATTCAAGTTTTAATTTCCATTTTTTTTTCGCAAAGTAGTCTGCTTTTTACAAGCCTCTCATTGGCAGTTTTTTAAACGAAGAGCTGTCTATAAATTGGCCAGTTTAAGGAAGCCATTTTGAGTACTTCTGAAGTTTATGCACACAACGATTTGCTTACGTACTTAGGCGACGATGAGGGCTAGGCCAGTACACCAGTCTCATGACAAAATCAAATTATTATTAAGCTTGTGACCAAAACTTTGTTGCATGCTAAAGTTTTAGCAATTTCTAAACTCATTTATTTCTCAGCAAAACCGATAATCAATCAAGTAGTGAAGGTCAGCAAACATTTAACGACTTCTGCGCGACCCTTGACATTGGGTACATTCTCATCCCGCGCAAATGTAGTTAAATTCGATTAGTAGTTACCTTGTCCAGCTTCGATTTGAGTTCTTCCGTGAGGACTCCGTCGGGTAAAAGCATAGCACGGCAGAAGTACTGTCCGCTAGACGAATTCCTTCCGCGTTGAGTATGCTTAGCATGGACGGAGAGAGTCTGGTTTTCCACTTTGATTTCTATGTCCTCTGGATTGAATGAGTGGAGGTCGAACTTTGTCCTGAACCAGGTCTACATAAGAAAACAACCAAATGCATTTTAAAAGTGACGAGCTTGAGGGGTTCGCTATGCTGGACGAGTCAGGTTTACCAGCATTTTGAGGGTAATAAATAAAAACCTGAAAGTTTGATTCCTACCTCAGTTTTCCCAATCAGGCAACTTACTAGACCCGGTAGATTTATCATGTGGAGGTGATACATACCTGCCCGTTTTCATCCTTGGTGAAGCAGTCTGCCATGCTGGGGAAGTGCCAGAAATCGTCGAAGTTTGGCTGCATGCCTGAATCGCGCATGAAGTCCATCATTTCGCTGTGGACTCGTCGCATCTCATTATTGATGCGTGCAAACCAAGGCCCTGTACTGCTCCCAGAGAAGGGAAACATGTCGAAGGGCTGAAAATAGGAAAATGACCGAAACTGATAAAAACAGAGTAGCAATTGTTAGCATCGATTATTGCGAGCTGAAAACCAAGCGACTATTTGCAGCTAGCATCGCATGAGACGTTGATTGCGCCTTGTGGACCGTTTTGATATTTTTGCTTCTTGTCCCTTCAAAAATCGCACCTAAACGCGTATAGAAGCGCAAAGCTTGCTTAATTCTGCGCATGATTTATACGTGCGCATTTAAGGACTTCTGAACAGTGAATAAACTAAGTGCTTTGCCGGTCATTAGGGAAGCGGTAACTGGGTGAGATGACAAGTTAGTTTGTGAGAGACATTTATACATTGTTTTACTGTGGGGAAAAGAAGCAATCGAATAAAGCGAAATGGTTGGGGCAAAGGATGTCTCTATAACTAAAGTATCTACTAGATCCGCACAAATTTCAGAGTGGCATGTTTGCAATGAAAGTAGATTCTCATGTGCATCTTAAATGTTGAAACTTTGGCTAATTGATTTCTCAAACAAAACGAGGAGAAGTTGAGTTCTGATTTTAGATGAAGGACGAAAGGCGTACAGGTTCACCTCTCTGGCGATCATCATCCATCTGGCATTCAAACTAGTTTTAGTATGAAGGCATTCGTCTGATTGATTGGACTCTGTTTAAGTGATGGCGATTTTGCAACAAGCAAAGTGCTAGCTAGTCAGCTACATTGATGAACCCAATAAGAAGTTAGTAGTTTCACAAACCTTGAAATCTGCAAGCTGCCTTTCCATTGTTTCAAATTGGCGATTGAGATCTGTGAACGGACAAATAGGGAAATCCCGCTCACGGGAGGTGTCTCGACCGCCACTAGAATGCCTCACAGCCAGTTGCCTGTCTCTGGAACGGCCGCCCCTTCGCACAGGAATCTCCATTGCAATGAAAATAACTCACTGCAATAGCACAAGGACGTGCCTCAGCGCCAGTTAAATAACCTTGGCAGTGTGATTTAAAACTGATTGGCTCTTGAGAGACTATGGTGACGCACGATTGTTCTAGAAGAAATGTCATATGATCTTCATGCATATTCCTTAGGTGGGAAACACATGACCCAATAGCAGACATTTTTTTCCAGAATAATCAGGTCCGTGTAACACTGTCACTTGGATAGGTAGGGCTTATCATTATTATAGTTGAATAGTGATCACAAACGGACTTGAAAAAGTGCCGGTGGCGCAAATGGTGCTTATATGAAGTTAAGGAGGAAATTCTGACTGCAAAACTTACAGGCTCAAAACCAGCAAGGCCGACAAAAGGCGTCACCAGTGCTCTCCAAACTGTAACAAAGCTGAATCATGTCCAAAAGGAAGAAGGCTGAGGAGCCGCAATGCACGAACACGAATAGACAAGAAAGAAAATAATCCCAAGCGTATAAAAACGAAACCAAGTATGCAGAGCAATGATTGTTTTACATGGTAATTCTATTATCTGTTGGCAAAGGCGCCAGAAAATTGAATTGGCATTTGTGTCTTAAAAAGCGAAATTCTCCCATGAAACTCATCACTTAATTTGCCAATCATCCGAAAACAACCAAAACACCTTAGTTAGATGGCTATACTAATACGTGTTTAAGATATCTTAATTGGGGTACTAGTTTTATTGCGGAAGAAATAAATTCCGAAAATGGGATGTGTCACCCAGACGAGTCATTTTTGCTTCGAACAATGATGATCTAACTCACTGGATCTAAGGTAAATGACGCTTATATCGCTTCAAGCAAACCGAAGCTCCTGTAAACCCATTTAAAAATCACCGCTTATCAACTTGAATGAAGCAATGTGATAAAGTAAAAAAATAACGCTACTATTGGTGGTGATCAGATTGGCTACCTCCTTGAATTTCTGAAAAGCTTACGTTCAGTCGGCTAGAGACGGAAATTTGAGGACTTGAGTAATGAGGCGACTTTCGTAACTTGTGAATGAAAATTGACTCGCATACACGGTTTGCATAACCTCGTCATGATCAGTAGCAATGCGCTGCCATCAAATAGGTTTAGCGTTAAGGTGAGAGGATCACGAGTTGACCAAAATCGACGAGAGGTAGTGCTTATCGCCGTGCTAGCAACGATTAAAGTAACAGCTCAGAAAGAGCATCATATGGTCTAGTAAAGCCCTGGAACGAAAAAAAGTGGCACATGAAGCAAAAATTTATTACTTTTATTGGGGAGATGAAATCAGTCGGACCAAAAACGGTGCCATGAAAAGCAGAATTAATAAAAATGTAAAGAAAAGCGAGAGCGAGAGAGGGAATGAAGAAGAGGGAAAGCGATTGAAGGCATGCGAGTGCGTTAAATGCCAGTGCTTTAATGAGTTGCGTCACGATGATGAAGAGGTCTTGATGAATTGCTGAACGAGGCGGTTGAGAAGTGTCTAGACGGTGCACAGAAGAGGCGCCTCAATAATAAGAGTGTTATCCTTGAGAACAGCAGAAACGGTGAATGGATCAATGGTTTCTGGCACTTCGAATGTGCGTGTGAATTCCGAAAACTCGGAACTCTTGGAACAGGACCCCGAAGTTGATCTGTCGGTACTTCGCTCCTTCTTTCCTGAGACACAGATCTTATTAGCATCCATGCGAACACAGAGATCATCTGCAGAGTAGCCAGCTTCAACTGGCACCTCCAAGTGAATTTTTCGGCCGCCAGTACCGTCATTTAGAATAACTGGGCCTGACTGTCCTGTGATGCTGAGGCCTACAATTTCACCCCAATGAGTATATATTGTATGCGTACTAACTGGTTTTCAGTAAAAGCTAAAAATTCAGTAACTTACTTGAGCTTGTAACTTGTGTTTCGGCAGTTTTCAAAGCAGACGAATCCTTCGGACGGATACCAAGGTTGTGGCCTGAGTCAAAAGTAATTGAGGCATAGTCTGGAGCCTTGACAGGCGCATCCAAAACAAGCACGCCATCCTGTTTCACGTGGAAAGCTCAGCGTTAATCGGAAGAATTACAAAACGACAGCTTCGCATTGCAAGCGAAAGTCTTTTGTAACACGGATACACAAGACACAGTTAGGTTTGGACATGATAATCCTATCGTTTCAGGCAATGCAAACACATCAAGCGTTTAAAGTAATCAACATCCGAAATGAGGAAATAAACCCGTCACAAATTGTTTTCAAATCGTAAAAAAAGGGGGGGGGTTGCTGCTGTTTTCAAATTATTGCCAGTTTGAAACTGCAAAAAAAGAAAGGATTTGAAACATCACCTCAGTGAGGGAACACTGGAATTTTTCGTGATCGATAGAGCGCGGCAAATCGACGGAGCGGCTAAACTCGCGGGAGCTGGTAGAGGTGGCCGTCTTGACTGACTTACTGGCGTGTACGGTCAACCGCTTGCCTACTGTGGTGACGTCAATGTCCTCCGGAGCAAAGTCCTTCGCATCAAAGCGTATCTTGAAGTGAACCTAGAGTTCGGCAAAGCAACCTCAAAATGAATAGCCAAGTGTTTTGTGGAAAACGTTTAGTCACGTCTGCCCACAAGCACGATGTGATTAGGCGAGGAGGGTTGTGTAGAAGCTGTGGCTTGTTTCGAAGTGTCGGGTGACCCTTAGGTAGTGGGTGTAGATTATCTTGCAAGAGACCAAATTCGCTAGGGTGCCAAAGCGGTTGCTGTGTGCGAGCGAACCACAAAATGCATGCAGAAGACGCACAACAAGTCTGGTGAGTCATCCTTTCCCAAGAAAGATGATTAATAGGCATCTGCCAACTGTGCAGCCCAGGGCGGTTAGTCATCTGGGAGGCAGCGCACTGCCGCGGAAACGGCTCTCTATGAGGCCACCCTCTACCCTCACTCGGAATACAAGCATTTTTCAGAGTGAAAAAAGCACTATGTTCATAGTGTCGAGGCATCAACAAGCTCCTTTTCGAGTATGGCTTAAATTGCCCAACTTGAATGTTAAAATTACAACTGGCTTTTCGACTAGCGGAAACAACACCTAGAGTATGCCTATAATTCTAATGCTGCTTGAAGAATGTCTATTAACAGTACCAGGCGTAAAGAGCTTAAATATATCTTCCTCTGAGAACCCACCCATTCCACTTGATACTAATTTGAAATTCGAATTCCATAATTCAACGATACACCTACTAATCCATGTAGAATCTGAAATAGTGCAGAATAACCTGTGAAAATTATGATAAATAACCACAACTCCCAGAAATATAACAAGCTGGAACCGAATCAATGGTTCATTATCAAAACATATACTTAAATTTCAAAACTTTTTCCCTACTTTCGTTGAAAACCAAGTACTCAAATAATTTACGACCTGAATATTGTTGACGTTATGAGTGGGAAAAAGTACAATGACTTGACGCCTTCTTTCAGGAAGGAAAATACGGTTAGTGATAAGGGTGTCGTAGAAATAAACAGTTCTTTGCGGATGATTCAGGGCATAAGTATCAAAAAAGCCTTTTTGTTTATTAACAGATACCATACCCAAGAGTGACTTCTAACTGAAAATAATGAGTACGTTATTATGACTCCCGGCAAGGCCAAGTCTAACCAGCCACACTTTGTGAAAGTAATAAAGATAAGAGAACGCACCAAACCATCATCACCAACTTCGTAGGCGTTGGAGAGGAAGTCCATAACGCCGGCGCTGTTGGGCGAAGCTGGAATGACGGCACCCACTGGAGTAGTTGATGTGAGCATTTGATGATCCGCGCCAGTGCCGAGTTTGTTTGTAGTAGAGGAAGAGGAGTGACTCTTAGTTCCTGTAGTCACACCGTCTACCGTCTGACGCGACTCCTGAGTGGTGGAAGTGTTCGATGTAACCACTCCGCCGTCGTTGACAGTGCGTGTAGAGGAGGTGGAGTAGTGTGAAGTCATTTGGTGATGTCCAGCGGGATGTCCTGCGCCTGGACCCGAACCTAACATTCGCATTTGGCTGTCCATTTGCTGACGCATTGCCTGCATTCGACGCTCCATCGCCTCAAATCCATGGTCTGCTCCTCCTGGACCGCTGGTGAGGCCACCAAAGTTGTCCCAATTCTCCAGATCAAACTCGTCTACTGGCTACGAGGTTAAACGCGAAAGAGAGGTAACCACGTTGCAAATTGGCGAATTTAGAGGCCTAAGCAAAGGTGTGATGCCACACATTATTTGGATTTAATAACATACACTATTTTAATTCCATTGCTATCGATGATGCTTCGAACCATTATTTATTTAGGATTTGCGAAATGCGAAAGTTTGAAAAATCTGTCTACAAGATGTCTGCTTCGCTTTTTACTTCTAAGGCTAAAGAGTGATTATCCCCGTTGGTGCAAAAGTAGGCAAAAGTCAATAAAACTAGTAAACTGAGCCAAGAGCAAGCAAGCTAAGATGGTAACTTTTCACACGCATACGGTGAGTCTTTTGATCTTTTAATTATGCAACTCTAAGCGTCTCTAAGTGCAGTCCAGCCAATTCATAATAGATGATTAAGTCTTCCGCTTGTAGACCAGTTACGGCTCGAACCAAACCTAAAATGTCCTCAAAGGTATGTAGCGCTAAAAGCAGTTCAAAACAACACAAAGAGGTATTTTTCATGCAAGCGTTTAGCTCAGTGGGTGAGTTGGCGTACATCTGGCTGAACAGATGCAAAGAGATCTAGTTGCTTGAAGCGTCAAAATTTGCATCAAATAGGACTAAGACACACGAGCTTTGTTTACGCAAATAGTGGCTAATGATGATTGCGTATAATGAGAGTCCCAAATTTATGGCAACTTGAACAAAATCCAAAATCTTGTCCGATGTATACAGACTTGCAAAACATTTATCTGAGCCGCCCTTCGAAAAAGGGGTAAATTAGAACGTTGAATTTCCAGATCACAAAGCACATAGTAATTAGTAAAGCAGTACAAAGCTACTTGTATGTTTGACTTTTATGCAGAAGAATGCAAGTGAGAAGTAGTGAAGAAGAAGAACAGCTATAGCCTGAAAATTTTGGTAGCAAGGTACTCGGCATTTTAAGGAATTGAAGACAAATTTGACCGCGACCTCCTTAAAAATGTTTTGCGAACCGCCTTTCCCTTTTTGCCTCAGATTTTGAATCCATCATAAAGAGTTTGATCATATGTAATTTCGTGCAATTGACAAGGCCCGAAGTGACCTTTATTTAATTATAGTTGCTTTAAATCGACAAAAAGGTGACAGTTTGAGGTGGAAATGGTGAACAAATTGTGGCAGTTTATTGTAGCCATGCAGGGGGTTAGTTCACACAGGAGCATTAGTGATAAAATTTTGGGTCAATTCCAAGAACACGTATTAATAAGAACTTACCCGAGTTCGCTAAAAAGATGGTTAATAAAACGTGATTTTACGACTCATAAAGTAATAAACTTCGAAATTTGGGTTTGCAGCAATTTGAAATGCTATTTTTTTCGAAATATGGTTTGAACTTTAAGGTGCACAATGAGAACGGTACCAAACAAGTTGAGATGCATGAACAATTCGCGCATTGTAACCGTGCAGCAGCAACACTACCGACTAACAGTCTCATTTAGTAACGGCACCATTTGAACACTGAATGGGAGGCTGGCCTTTCTCACCGCGGCAATCGCGTACAAACACATTAAACGGTTCTAAGTACACTTTTTCGGCAAGTGACACTTCGCAGAGCTTGATCAATGCCAAAATCGAAAATTCAACAAACGTGGATGGGACGACCGATGCCGACCTCACCGCCAAGAATAGTGAAATTTACACCCAATATTTAATAGACACTCAGAATGAGTTCCATTTTGGTTTAATAATTTAAAATTGTAAAGTGATCTAACATTGCCTCGAAGAAAAATCCGCCTTAAAAGTAATGGATCAATGAAGGAAAATAAAAATTACAAGGCTGATTTTATCGGTTAAGAGCACACTTACTCCATTCGCCTCCTTTTGTTTGTACAAGTGAAATGTTACAACTTTTTCATATTTACTACCGAGAAGAAATGTCAACTATTCTCCATAATGGGCCAACTAACCTTCCTCTATTAAGTTCAGTAAACATCTGTGGTAGGAAGTAAGTTAAGGCAGGTATTACGCGTACAGGATTCGTGGACTGAAATAGCAGGGATTGGCAAAAGATGCACCGCAGATCCCACTTAAAACCGCCATCTAGTCACCGCGGTGACTGCGAGGGGCAAGCCTGCGTGATCGATGTGCCAAGGTAGTGCCAGCTGCCTCGTGCACATTCCCGCCAAGAATGATCGAAGAGACAGGCTAAAAATACTATATAAGGGAGGCGGGCGGGAGGGGGTGGCGAAGATGTCGTTGATTAGACTTCGAATCAACTCTTCTTGTGTCGAACTCTAAGTCGGTGGAAAATATTAAACTGACCCATCTAGTACAGAGACATTGTGTCTGATTGTTGGAAGCACTTAACCCACATATTAAGAAGTAGTTTTAGTAACAGCTCTAAAATGCAATTTGAGCCAGGGTAAAGAGTTTACAAAAAGCATTCGACTTGCAAATGGCATACACAGGCGTGGGTGTCTGTGAGGAATAAAAAATTGCTACCACACGACAGGTGAAGGTCTCCAAATTACACTGAAAATACAGATCAATTCCCATAAGGAACGAGAGAAGGATGTTAGCAAATGGCAGTCCGTCACACCGCTTCAATCAGTAATATTTTGTCTTTTAATCTAAAGCAAAAAAAAGCTTGCATTTGTCCACTTTGAGGTTAAAATTAAGAATGTAGCCAAGTATTTCACTACAATTTCCACATTTTATGACACTAGATCAGTTTTGCAATTGATAATATAACCAACCTCCAAAGCGAACATATTACTTCTCATACGTCGAACATCATCATCGAACTGGCGCTTAGCTTCATCGATCCATCTGCTTCGTTGGAACTCCCAGGAGGACCCGCCTGTGAGGGGTCCACCTCCACTGCTTCGAGTCTCCGACTTGACACTTTGCGAGGAGACGCTTGAAATGGTGTCCCCGCCCGTGTCTGTGGTAGAGGAAGACTTGTAGCTCTTTTCCAACTTAGTCACCAGATCCTTGCGACTCTGCTCAAAGGTGCGAGGATCCTTTGTTACGGGAATGTTAATCTCCGAACGGTACGACGAGGTGGCAGACATAGCTTGTAGGAAAGAAGTGCAAGTGTGCGCTACTGGACCCTTTTAAACCGATAAACACCAGTGCAAGGATGGAATTTCCACTAGAATTGGCTCAGCACGCACTAGCCTTTTACCTCATTGGTTCCAGTCGTGTGTATCGGTGCGCACGTGCGTGTGCGCATGCACCTAAAGTAGTAAAGTTTCCTTCTGGAAAATTCGCATGGCATGCAAAACACTTACGGAATTTGTGACTACTGGCACAGAGCTACGTTTTGACCTTCTTTCCAGTGACCTAGAGGTACCACCATTCACCAAAAGCAGCTGAAATACGGAGTCACCGATAGTCAAGCAATGGTACTTCAACTACAGCTTCATGTTTTCCTTTTCAGGCAATATGCTAGAATACGAATGCAATAATTCGTGTTAGTACTAAACTCAACTAAAATCGACGTTAAGTAGAGTACTTATTCGTATGGCGCTATAGAAAGAGCTAAGCAGGTTGTGCAACACCGGTAACCAGAGCATTTCTATCACAAGTGAGGTGGGGTAAGAGGTAACATGTGGCAGCAGAAAGGAAAGTAGAGCAAAATGGTAATGTATCACTGTGAACCCTAACCCGTCACATTGTTTCCAAGTTTGATGAAAGGAACCAACTTTCCAAGGGATATTTTAAGGCAGAAAAACATGATTATGTTTTGACATTTTAGCTGAAATAATCGTTCGAAAACACAATCAAACAATCCGATATTCCTGTCGGCAGATAGTAGCGTTTGTGGTATACATCCGCACTTTACAGTCATTGGTAAGATAACTCGTAAGCAGTTAGAGTAATGGCTAAACATTCTTACAGTGTTTGATGCTAGCGGCTTAGTCATTGTGACAATTCTCTGACTGTGTTGAATGATCCAATAAAAATACACTCTTTGTAAGGTCAAAAGAGGCCAAGGCATGGACAGTTTAGCGGTACTTCGCAATGAGTATTGCGCGATTGTGGGTAATCGTTGCGAGAATAATGTAGTTATTATACAAAACACACAGTATGCGTGGGTCACAGTGTCGTCTTCAATCCCACGCCTTTGAAGAAGGTCAAGCGATGACAGTTAGGCAGGCTGCGCCAAACCTCAATGAATGAGAGATTCACAGACTTAAGAAATGATAGTCCATTTCTCCACATTTTACAAAGACATTTGTTAAAGAAACCCCGGCCTAACGTGGCACAATTCATCTACTTTTAAAACTTTTTGCCCAGGGTTGATGGAATAGTCAAAATTTTAGGTAAGTTATGATTTAGAGATTAAAGGTTTATGTTAATACGTACGTGTATTTTAGGATTAATTTTGATAGTCGGAATGGCTAATCACTAGGCGAAAATTCGTAGGCACATAAAGATATTTGTTATGTCCCTCTGTTTGTTCAGCTCGCGAATTTTGGGTGTAGACTTGGTAGATCCTTTGCCTTCGCAAGGTGGGTTGGTCTCTTGGTCACTCCAGCAGTTATAGTCCATATTTTGCCTGAATATGATGACCAATTTTGTCTTTAGGGAATTCTCGGGGCGCTACAGTGAAATATGCCTGACTTAAAATGCTTGACCCATTCAAACTCTAAAAATTTTAACATTGACTACCGCTGTTTACATCAAGTTAGTCAGGTGTTTCTAGTTTTAGTTAATAAATACCAAAGTCTGTGCTCACGGAAATTCGGCATCTAAAGGTAGAGAAGAAGTGTTAAAACAATGGCTCAAATTACTGACAAGGATGGAGTAGATGAGACAAATTGTGAGACAATGTAAACAAATGTAATGCCATCTTTTAGTACGCTGCTTGAACGTGATTATTTTATATATCTGAATGCTGCGATCACATTTGAAAGGAAAACGGTGAAGGAGTAAGCATAGTGAATGCGAGGCCCTTATGTTGCATGCATTGAAGAAATTTGTGACTCAGCCTGATGAAATGGAAACGGGCGTTTGCAAAGGTTTCCTGTAACTCATCCAAACTCATGCACAAACTGGTCAGCCCCGTGACAATGTTCTCACAGTCAGGTGACGTGCACTGTTTCGTGACTGTTAAGGAGGCCTGCGCGTGAAGAGTCAACCCTAAAGCTTGCGCGTGCAAACTGCCAAGCCTTTATCAGCCTTTTACTCAATCAATCTATGATCTAAATACCTTCGTTGAGAAGGATTTTGTAACGTCTACACGATTTGATTTGCGCTTAAATAACTTATTCGTATGAATATCCCGACCAAAATATCTTCTCACCTCCAAATGGTTGAGAACCAAATGAAGAGGTCATAAAAACGGCCGTTTTATAACGAAATAGAAGCGTTTTGAAACGTTTGCCTGACCCACAGTATGCTAAATTGTTGACTTCAAGGTTCAAATCATGCCCTCAACAAAACAGCAAGGCGTTATAAAACCTCTTCTTGGAATTTTCAATGCAGAGCAAATAATCGCATGCGCAAACATTCCATCTCCCGAATCCTCCTCCACAGGCCTATAAAGAAGGTGGGCGACAAGTAATAGCGGTCATTTGCTTCTTGGCCTAAATTTAAACGACTTTACACCAAACTGAATGATTTATTAGTTTTAAAAGGTTGGGCATTTAGATAAATCGCTCCAAAAATTCAGTAAGAACTTGCCAATTCACCACTTACTAGGAGCCACCAGGTGATGCTATTTTATGATTTGTTGTAGTTCAGAGTGAAACAGAGCGATACAGCCCTATTACCAGAACAGAAAAATCAAGTAAAATCCCATTCGCATGATTTTATAATGATTCAATGAAAAACACACTACCTTAATGCCAAAAAGGTAAGGGAATTATCCCTTGTGTTGAAAAATGAGGATTAAATGGAAGCGTACAGTGCTTTGTTAAGGTTGGGAAATTGCTGTGCAAAATAGACAAAGCACAAGTTGTAAAATCCCTCCTATCTTCACTTAAACTTTGTGCACCAACTTTGAATAACACCAATTTCAGCATGAAATTGGAAAGTGTCGTAATTTGGGAAGAAATTTTTTCGAGAATCCAAATGGTTCATGCTTAAAACGCAAGGACAAACAAACTTTATCAGCCCTCTTCCTAACCGCGGTGATATTTCAAAGAGTTAAAATATATTCTCCTTCCATTTAGGAGCAACAACAAAATAGCAATAATGGAGATTTTTT